AAAGAGACTTGTCGGTAACGAGATTGAAATAGGTATGAAGATACCGAAGATCGAATCTCGGGCAAATAACATACCGATGACAAAGGGAATAGCATATGTTGTCATAATGGTTCGACCGATAAAGATCTTCGTAAAATATGTGGGAGCCATCCAGGTTCCGCTATTGGTTATTGACCGGAGAGGTGTCTCGGTCATGTCTACATAGTTCTCGAACCCATAGGGTCTGCACGCTTAATGTTCGATGACGATTTTGTATTATATGAGTTATGTGATTTGGTGACCGAATGTTGTTTGGAGTCCCGGATGAGATCACAGACATGACGAGGAGTCTCGAAATAGTCGAGAGGTAAAGATTGATAGATTGGATGCTAGTATTCGGACATCGGAAGTGTTCCATAATGTATTGGGTACATATCGGAGTACCGGAGGGTTACCGGAACCCCCTAGGGGAAGATATGGGCCATATGGGCCATAGGAGGGGAGCATACCAGCCCACGAGGGGTGGCGCACCCCCAAGGAAGGAGGCCGGATTGGAGTAGGAGGAGGGGGCGGCGCCCCCCTCTTTCCTCCCCCCCTCTCTTCCCTTCTCCCCCTTCCGGTAAAAGGGAGGAAGGGGGAGGCCAACTTGGACTAGGAGCCCAAGTAGGATTCCTCCTACTTGGGCGCGCCCAGGGTTGCCTTCCTCCCCCTCCCTCCTTTATATACGTGGGGAGGGGGCACCTAGAACACACATCATTGATTCCTAGCCGTGTGCGGTGCCCCCCTCCACAGTTTACGCCTCCGGTCATATTCACGTAGTGCTTAGGCAAAGCCCTGCGCAGATCACTTCACCATCACCGTCACCATGCTGTCATGCTGATGCAACTCTCCCTCGACACTTTGCTGGATCAAGAGTTCGAGGGATGTCATCAAGCTGAATGCGTGTAGAACTCGGAGGTGCCGTACGTTTGGTGCTTGATTGGTCGGAACGAGAAGAAGTTCGACTACATCAACCGCGTTAACAAACGCTTCCGCTTTTCGATCTATGAGGGTATCGTGGACACACTATCCCCCTCTCGTTGCTATGCATCACATAGATAGATCTTGCATGAGCGTAGGAGTTTTTTCTAAAATTGCATGCTACGTTTCCCAATAGTGGCATCCGAGCCAGGTCTATGCATAGATGATATGCACGAGCAGAACACAAAAAGTTGTGGGCGGTGATCGTCATAGTGCTTACCACCAATGTCTTATTCTGATTCGGCGGTATTGTTGGATGAAGCGGCCCGGACCAACCTTACATGACCATGTTCATGAGACCGGTTCCACCGACAGACAAGCAACTAGTTTTGCATAAAGGTGGCTGGGGGGTGTCTATTTCTCCAACTTTAGTTGAATCGAATTTGACTGCAGTCGGTCCTTGTTGAAGGTTAAAACAACAAACTTGATAAATCACCATTGTGGTTTTGTGCCGTAGGTAAGAACATTTTTACTAGAAGCCCGTAACAGCCACGTAAAACTTGCAACAACAAAGTAGATGACGTCTAACTTGTTTTTGTAGGGCATGTTGTGATGTGATATGGTCAAGACATGATGTGATATACGTAGTTGTATGAGATGATCATGTTTTGTAGAAGTTATCGGCAACTGGAAGGAGCTTTATGGTTGTCGCTTTATTGTATGAAACGCAAACGCCATGTAATTGCTTTACTTTGTCACTAAGCGGTAGCGATAGTTGTAGAAGCAATAGTTGGCGAGACGACCACGACGCAACGATGGAGATTAAGGTGTCGAGCCGGTGACGATGGAGATCATGATGTTGCTTTGGAGATGGAGATCAAAAGCAAGAGATGTTGATGGCCATATCATGTCACATATTTTGATTGCATGTGGTGTTTATCTTTATGCATCTTATTTTGCTTAGTACGGCGGTAGCATTATAAGATGATCCCTTAACTAAATTTCAAGGTATAAGTGTTCTCCCCGAGTATGCACCGTTGCGTAAATTCTTCGTGCTGAGACACCAGGTGATGATCGGGTGTGATAGGCTCTACGTTCACATACAACGGGTGCATGCCAGTTTTGCACATGCGGAATACTCGGGTTAAACTTGACGAGCCTAGCATGTACAGACATGGCCTCGGAACACTGGAGACCGAAAGGTCGAACGTGAATCATACAGTAGATATGATCAATATAGAGATGTTCACCATTGATGACTACTCCATCCCACATGATGATCAGACATGGTTTAGTTGATTTGGATCACGTATCATTTAGATGATTTGAGGGATGTCAATCTAAGTGGGAGTTCTTAAGTAATATGATTAATTGAACTTTAATTTATCACGAACTTAGTCCGAATACCATCGTCCTATATATCAATCTTTACCTCCTGGCCATTTCGAGACTCCTCGTCATGTCCGTGATCTCATCCGGAACTCCGAACAACATTCGGTCACCGAATATTATATCGTCATCGAATGTTAAGCGTGCGGACCCTGCGGGTTCGAACTATGTAGACATGACCGAGACACCCCTTTGGTCAATAATCAATAGCGGAACCTGGATGCCCATACTGGCTCCTACATATTCTACGAAGATCTTTATCGGTCGAACCGTTATGACAACATACGTAATTCCCTTTGTCCATCGGTATGTTACTTGCCCGAGATTCGATCGTCGGTATCTTCATACCTAGTTCAATCTCGGTACATGCAAGTCTCTTTACTCGTTCTGTAATACATCATCCTATACTCCGAGAGGGCCCAGAGATACCTCTCCGATACTCCGAGTGACAAATCATAATCTCAATCTATGCCAAATCAACAAACACCTTTGGAGATACCTGTAGAGCATCTTTATGATCTCCCAGTTACGTTATGACGTTTGATAGCACACAAGGTATTCCTCCGGTATCCGGAAGTTGCATAATCTCATAGTCGAAGGAATGTGTATTTGACCTGAAGAAAGCAATAGCAATAAACTGAACGATCATTATGCTAAGCTAACAAATGGGTCTTGTCCATCACATCATTCTCCTAATGATGTGATCCTGTTATCAAATGACAACACATGTCCATGGTTAGGAAACCTTAACCATCTTTGACTAACGAGCTAGTCTAGTAGAGGCTTACTAGGGACATGGTATTTTGTTTATGTATTCACACATGTATTTAAGTTTCCGGTCAATACAATTCTAGCATGAATAATAAACCTTTATCATGAATAAGGAAATATAAAATAACAACTTTATTATTGCCTCTAGGGCATATTTCCTTCACTTGAGAGAGCCGACTCCTCAAGATACAATCCGCTTGTTGGCGATGAATGCCAGCAGGGGCTTCCCAGGGATACTTGGCAGTATAGACTGCATGCACTGGGAGTGGAAGAACTGACCTTCTGCTTGGTAAGGACAGTATAAGGGCCATGTTAGGACTTGCACTGTCATACTTGAGTCCGTGGCCTCACAAGATCTCTGGATCTGCCACTCTTTCTTCGGCGTGGCCGGATCACATAATGATATCAACGTGCTTCAACGCTCACCGGTGTTTGCAAGGCTTGCCGAAGGCAACAGCCTGTTGATGAATGTTACCATCAACGGCCATAACTTCGACAAAGGATACTACCTAGGTGATGGTATCTATCCTTCGTAGACCACTATTGTGAAGACAATCCCCAACCCCATCGGAGAGAAGAGGAAAAGATTTGCCCAAGAGCAAGAGAGTGCTAGGAAGGACGTCGAGCGCGCCTTTGGTATTTTGCAATCTCGATGGGGTATCGTTCGGTATCCTGCTAGGATTTGGAGCACCAAGAAGCCGTGGGAGGTGATGATTGCTTGTGTGATCATGCACAATATGATTGTAGAAGATGAGCGCCTGAAACGTATCTACAATCAAGGTTTTTAGTTTCAGGGTAAGAATGTTGTGCGTGAGTATGGAGGAGCGGCAATATTTGAATAGTTCATCTAATTTCATCATGAAATGCGTGATGGGAAACTCACATGTAGCTGTAAAATGATTTCGTTGAGCATACCTGGGCTCATGTTGACAAAATGGCCGTCCGTCCGCTTGGGTCGACGCTTGATCCAAATCCACTGTGGGTTAGTTTGGTTCACGTCCTCATGGTGCCGTGCCTGGCTTGGAGCCTGCCTGGATTTTCAGAGAAGTTGTTTGCTTGTTGTCCTGGGACTGAGGAAGCCAGCCTGGCCTGGATACTTGAGCATTTTTGTTAGCCTGGTCCAGGCAGACCGAGGCGACCACATGCGTCCAGTTTCAAGCGCCTGGGCAGCCGACCTAGATGCTAATTGTTGCCTGGGAATTACTAATCACAAAACGACAGCACTCCTGCAGCTATGGTATGTCAGAGCAAGTATAATAGAGCTGAGTCAGCGGGCTATAAAAAATAAACTAGTATATTCTACTTAGTTGGAGGAAAGAGAAGAGGAGAGAGAAGGTAAGCGGGCTCTTGGTGAAGAGACAACTCTAGCACGTGCTCCTAGACACTTTGTGAGAATGAAAGGTGGACCACATAATAAAAAAGTAGTACACTCTTTTGATCTACTATTATATATGTTGGCTGTAAGATAGGCTATAGATAACATGACACTGACTTATAGCCAGCAGCTGGCTATACTATTAACCATGCTCTCAGAAGTACAGTCTAAGATTTCTTTTTAAAACCATTGAACTATTCACCAGGCCAGGCTTCATCCAAACACATTTCATTTCTTTGAGGCTAGCCTGGCCAGGCAGCAATTGCTAGCTCCTCGTGTCCACACGCCACATTTTTTCCCAGGCATCAACTTGTGGACACAAACCAAACTAGCTCTATAATCTATCTATATCCACCCATTCACGGCCTGGGCCGAGAACCCGACCTGACCGGCCGACCCATCCTTCCACCCCCCGATCTAGGGTTTCTTTTCGCCACCGCGCGGACACAAAACAAAGAGCGGCGGCGGCGGGGAGGAGCCGGCGTGGAAGACGATCGATCTCGGGGGCGGCGCGCTGGAGACGCAGATGGGTGGCGGGGTTAAAGCCAAGGAGGAGTACCGCCTTGGCTCGTCCAAGGTTTCTCCTGCTCCTGCTGAAGAAGTGGCTGCTGCTGCTCCTGCTGAAGAAGTGGCTGCTGCTGCCGCTGCCAAGGGGAAGAAATCCAGGGCGAAGAAGGCTGCTGCTCCTGCTCCTGCTGCTGCCGCTGCCAAGGGGAAGAAATCCAGGGCGAAGAAGGCTGCGTCGCGGATAGACTTGGACAAGGCTGAAGCCGTTGTGTATAAAGCCGATATGAAGGCGAGGGAGTCTGCCAGGGTAGCCAAGGCCAAGGCCGAGGAGGCCGAAGAAGCTGCCAGGATAGCCAAGGCCAAGGCCGAGGAGGCTGAAGAAGCCGCCCGGGCCGCCAAGGCGGATGCTGAGGCGGTCGCCAAGGCGAGAGAAGCCGCAGACGAGGCGATGCTTCTCTATGAGAAGGAGATGGAGTGGGCGCAGTGCGAGGAAGAATTGAACGCCTCCATGTTCCGCGGCCGCTGGAACCAACAGCACGCCCGCCACGGCGCCACCTTCCTGGAAATCAGTAAATCACCTCTTCTTACTTGCAATTACTTGCATTTTTCTGCCATCTATCAAATGAAACCACCAATTTTACATTGCAGCATATGCCAATCCATGCCCTTTTTTCTTGAGAATTGTATCTGTGGCTACTGCTGTTTTGCCGGTCTGTCTGTCCCCAATAATGAACTCTCGCTGACCGCGCCCTATAGGGATCATCGAATCGATAGCAATAAGCCCTGTTTGAAGAGGTTTTACATTGCAGCATATGCCAATCCATACTGTCATTACTTACATGCAACTAACTAGGCCATTATTGATTGATGCAGCATCTATCCCACCTATGCGTTACACTTACCCTACTCCCGAGGAGAAGGTCTACATCAAGACCGCGGAAACTCTGCAGATCGTTTCTCTCAAAATCGTGTCGATCAATGACGACTCTTTACGCTGGCCACTGCAAGTGTTTGGTATGGTTGCCGTGCGTGATATCTTGGATCACAAGCGCAACATTATCTTCCAGCGACAGAGGAATAACTGCCAAATCATCAATAAGAATGTTCGTATATAAATCTTCTTTCATTCCTTCCTTTTATTTCCTTAATTAACCTGGTCTTCTCTAGCATCTTTGATATATCTGTGCTGCCCATTGTGCATTTGCCAATGTCAGATTTAGTGATTCATTAAGCTTCTTCTACCATATACTCTGTTATAAGATAGAGTAGATTGTTTGCATTCTACTCGATGCGGTCTTACTGTTGATGAACATTACTCTGTTATTTACTTGAATAGTTGTTTGGTGCAGGATCCGTATCTAGCATTGACAGGCCCAAGCCGTGCTGTTGCTGTGTCGATGGAACCTTCGCACATTGAGGTTTCGCTGAAAGTGAAGGGGACCACTAAATCTGATGATAAAGACCTAAGCGAGCTAGTTTTGAATTTTAGATCTGGATGCGTGCTTAGTGACGTTTACCCTAGCAGGATTAGCACAATTGAATTTAAATACGGTCACATTATGTGCGCTGTGGAGGCCACGATCCGCATAAAAGTCACTGGTGGGTCTTGGCCAGATGGTTTTCGAGGTATGTTTACTGCCTACAACACTGGAGCTGATGACCTGAAAGTCAAGTTACTTGATTTTGGAGATGGTGGATTGCCTGTTGGTGCTGATGGCATGGTCAAGCTCTCACGCAGTGTGGTTTCCGTTGACCTTGAGGAGTTGCTCAAAGTCTCTGCCATGGCATATCCTATTAACGATGATGAAGTTGCTGATAGCAGTGAGGTAGCCTTAAAACCTGAGATGGCTGGTATAACTCCCCCAGGTTTTGTGCTGACGGTTGGCTCATGTAGTATGGAAGTGAGTGTTGCCTGGTCCCTTTTCCGTCGTGGATTCTGACCTTGAAAGGCTGATGCTGACAGGAGATCTGAACTCATTTGGCCTGCTGTACTTGTGTTATGATGTAGTGGTAGCCGAGATCTGCTCTACTTATGTTATGATGTGGTAGCTGACTAGCTGTTGCTTGGTGTATGCTAAGTGGTACTGTTGCTTAGGTGGTGTATGTTAAGTGGTACTGTTGCATTTGTGGACAGTGTAATATTTGATCACCTCGCTTTTGTTAATACTATTATGCATGGGTAATTGTCTTGAGGAAGCTGTTCGTAGACGCACAATCTTGATTACTTAATTTTTTTTATGCTTCATACAACTTGATATGATGGAAAATTGCATGACTTTTCTTCTGGTATGCGAACTTTTTAGGGGAAAACCTTGCTGCCTTTTATTAACTAAGTGGCCGAGCGACACAATAATGTCTCGAATAGAAACAAGAAACAGGAGGAATAGAAAACCAAGTCTTACGTAATTTATCAGGCAGCCATCCCCAGCTCGATAATGCGCCGCTCGATTACGTCTAGCCCTAGCACACGCTCGATTACGTCTAGCCTAACACACAAGAAACTCATCGTAAGAGATCTAAGAGATAAGCTCCTTGATTTCTTCGACCAGAGGGCTATACCGAAATCTAGCCAGCCCCGAGTTTATCAAGGCCCGCGCTACCCCCTGATTATCAGTCTGCATGACAGTCTTCCGGGCTCCCACTTCGATGGCCAGCTGGATACCTCGATGACACACGCCAACAGTTCAGCATGTTCCAGTCAGCAACAGATGGGGAAAATGGCATGCTCTACTCCCACAAACATGCCATGATGACCGCGCACGACCGCTCCATCGCCCCCTGAATCGTCCACCTTCGCCGTTGCCCCGTCGATATTCACCTTCATGGCCCCCTGAATCGTCCACCTTCGCCGTTGCCCCGTCGATATTCACCTTCATGGCTTCATCCGTCCTTGGTCAGGAGGCTGCCAAGGCTCTGTTAGCTTAACATGACTCCCTTAGCCGCATCAGGGGCCTTGCCAGACCAGTCCAGCAGTCATCTTCCAAGGGCTTGTTGCGAGTTGATTATATTCGGCAGACAAAAAACATTGTCATTGATACGAACTTGGTACAAGTACTGATGTCTAAAAAAAACTTGGTACAAGTACTTTCAGCTGGCTAAGAGCTTTAACATATTTTTTTATTGGCACTAATTTTTTTATATATACCTGCACTACTAGGGAAAACCCTTGTAGTAGCGCTTGTTTTATACCTAGCAGTAGCGCTTGTACGAGCGCTACCACTAAGGCGCTACAGCTAACTAGTAGCAGTAGCACTGGAAAGAGAGCGCTACTGCTATACCTAGTTAGCAGTAGTGCTTTCTTTGGCTCAGCGCTACTGCTAGTAGTAAGTAGCAGTAGCGTTTCTTCTGAAAAGCGCTGCTGCTAACTTTTCCTGTATTTTAAAAAATACATCTTATTTTCGTTGTAGTTTTATATACAATAGTTTCATCAATTGATTTTATGACCACGATTAGTTATTATATAACAGTGGGTGAAATGAACGTGGAGTAGATTCAAATGGAGGCAACATGTGGTGCATGCCGAAAGTACTACTCTAATCCAAACTTGATCTAGTTTGGATTGGTAGTACTTTCGATGTGCACCACATGTTGCCTCCACTTGAATCTAATCCATGTTCATTTC